AAACTGGTTTCTTCCGCTCCTATTTGAGTTTGAGTGAAAATATTACGATATTGTTAAATATTCTTTCATATTACTATAATTAATATTCATTACCATAATAATATTTTTATTATGATTACTGTAATTAGCTTACATTTACAATATTGTTTAATTGTAAATTATATATTTTTTATTTAAATTAGGTCAGGCTCTTATATAACGGTATATCTTTATACTGAACTAATATAATTTACATAAATACAAAGCATTTCTCATTATTTCCTCCAATAATAAATATGTTTTTATTTAAAGAATAACTAATTTAATAAATGTTTAAAATAATTATCATTTTACACATTAAAAAGGTATTTATTTATTTTTAATTTCTTCCACATCTTACATTAACATAGATGTATTTGACAAAACTAACAAATAAGTTAATTGAAAGTTGAAAAATTAACTAATTAAGTTTAAACTATTTGGTAAATTTAACTATTAAACTAGCTAATTAATGTAAAATGATAAATAAAAACATCATTAAATTTTAGTTCAAAATTAAAAATTTAATAAATCTATACTTTCAGATGATAAATCTTAATTTCACTCTTATTTTAAATTTTTGAATAAATAAAATGAGATAATGTGAATTAATTTATATTAATATTTTGATAATTTTATGTTGCAAAATAAAATAAAATGTAATAATTTAGTGATATTTTAACAAAATTTAATGATGAAGGTAGTTTAGAAAATGAAAATGATAAAAGTAAAGATAATAACATTTTAAAAATTGAAAAATAAATAAAAATTATTATTAAAAAATTAATAGGGACAAAACAAAATTATTTTCAGCTAATAACTGAAAAATAAGATAAAAAAAGTTTCTATTACAGTAGTGTTAAAAAAATGCTAGTAATAATTTATTTCAATTATCTTAGCAAATAAAACTATTTTTGTTAAAAAGTTTTTAGTTAGCAAAATATATTTTTAGCTAGTTGAAATGTCTTGTTAAATACACTTATAATGTTTATTACCTATTATTTTCATAATAATATAATTTATTTATTTTCTTAGAAACACGTTATTATTAATCATTAATATCATTAATCAGAGTTGGCCCAAATACAGGGCTTATAACAAATTTTAAGATACGATCACTAATAAACACGTGTTATTAAAATTATTATAGTTTAATTTTAATTCTTTTAACATGTAAAATTTATGAAAAAGCGATAAAGTCAGGTAGCATTTAGCCAATTGTTTTTAAATGTTAAAATGTAGTTTAAAGCCAAAATTAAAATAGAATTAAATTTTAAAATTTTTTATAATTATATAATTTTTTAAAGTTAAAAGTTACTTTTAAATTAAAAGTTGTTGTATAATATATTTTTAGAAATTAAAAATCGTACCAAAGAAGGAGAAGGATAAAAAAAAAAGGGTTCTGAAACTATTATATGTTTCCTTTTTGAAACGATGTTTTTGTTTTTTTTTTTGGAATTTTTATATAATTAAGTGAAAAAGTTAAGTAAAATGAGTTAAACACTGTTATGATAAAATAAAATGAGGAGCTTTTATTAAAAAAAAATTAATTATTCTTGATAAACTAATATTATTTATTAAAATAATTTTTTTTTAAAATAATTCATACTAAACAAAAATATTGAAAACCTAAAGCGGAGACTTACTCGTTTTATGGTTGGCACTTGGACTGACATTAAATATCATTTTTTTAATAGTTTTTATTGTAAATTTCTTAATTAGTGACATTGATATCTTAAAATATTAGAATATTTTCTTAACTATCAACTTTGACACAGTATTTATCAATTAAATTAGTAGGGTTTCTTTTTGTAAGATATCATTAAATTAATTTTTTAAATAAATAGTTAAAATATATTATGTGACTATGTTTAAATTATTTAAATTTTTAAAAAAATAATAATATTATAATAATTAATAATAAATATTCTATTATATTAAATATAATTTTAAATAAATTATACAAATTTAAAATTAATATCAAATTAAAAAGTAATACACAATGCATAAAAAATATTTTTATTTAAAATTCCTCTTATTTAAAAATATATTTTCAAATCACCAAACATGTGAATCAATAATTTCAAGAGACAGTATAGTGATTTCATTTGGATCAAACACAATATTAATAAAAGATACTTGTGATTTAATAAAAAAAACTCTTATAAATATTCTTAATAAAAATTAATTTTTCCAAATTATATAGAAATGTTAATTATCTCAATTCAAGTACCTGTCGAGCATGTGAGACGTGATCCAAACCTCGTGGACAACGTCCTCTTATTTTAACTAACTATCGTTAATGAAGACAAACATGTATTTGTTGTAATAACTAAACATTGCAGGGTTGTACTCGTGACAATTATTTAGTTTTTGGGAAATATTAGCTTCATATTAATTTGTATAATTTATTCTTTGTGAGTAAAAAAATAAGGAAATTAATTATAAAAAATTAATTAAATTATTTCTCATAACTTTTTTATTTTAGGATAGAAATTCTCAAATTTTAAAAATAGAGTTAAATTTTAAACCTATCTTTTTTTTCTAATAAAAGGAGCTAAACAGTCTAAGACCAAACAACTACACATTGAGTCTTATAAGATGACTATTAATGACATCTATACTCAAGAAAGGAAGTAAGGGCAAGGGAGCCACATCAAAATAATGCAAATACAAGATCTCATCAATGCCAAAATTAGCTAAACGATCAATATATTTGTTAGCTTCTCTACATACATGCAAAATCCTAATAAATTTAACACAATTAAATAAATTCTTAATTTTCTTGAGGACATCAAAGAAAGGGTGATAGTAAGATTAGACAATAAGAATAAGAAAAACTACCTTCTTACATTCTCTCTCAATCCAAATAGATTGGAACCCCTTATTTATTGCATATTGGACACCAAAGAAAAAGCTCCAAAGTTTAGGTTCAAGGAGGTAACATGGGGTGATTTTGCTGCAGAAATTGATTATAAAATTGCTATTATTTTCCCAAATTAAGCCACCACAAGCAGCTGCACCTTTGCATTTTGAAACAGACTCATCTATATTGAGTTTGACATATCTATGAAGAGGAGAGATCTACATGATTCTAGTCTTGTCTTGCACTAGCTTTGGGAGGTGGTTGATACAGCTCCTGCAAACAAAAGAAAAAAAAATAAAAATCATATAAAATTTTATATTTCATAGAGTTAGGTTGGATAGATAAATTATTAAAAATAAAATTGTTTCTATCTTTTTAAAGATGTCACACAATGAATCCAAAAATTAAGTTATAATCCACAAATTTACTCAAATTACATTGAGTTAAATTAGACACTAACCAATTAGTATTTCTAACACTAAAGAAAGACACTAATTGAGCGAGAAAGATAAAATATTGCCATATTTTCTGAACATAAAAATAATTTAAAACCCATCTTAATAAGATTATATGTAACATTATTAATGAATTTATCAATACACTATAAGTTAACTATATAAAGTTTTTACAGAAAAGTTTAAATGTAAGTAACTTTTTTATTAGTGTTAAAATTTGTAAACAAACTCGAATTAAACAATTGAATTACAAAGTATTTTCACACTAAATGTACTTGTGGTTCATATTAGATTCAAATTATTTAAAAATAATATTTTCTTGTATGATAATAATATGAAAAACTTAATAATTAATATCTTGAACTTGATTATAATATAACATCAAATAATTTATTTTGTTATTATAATTTGAGTTTTTTATTAAAATATTTTTAAATTATTTTATTTTTATTACACTGTTGCAAGCTTTCTTCTATATTTAAGACTTTATTTTATTGAATTTTTATTCCTTTTAAATAGCATTTCTTAATTTTAATTTCAAATTTAACTTAACTTTTTTATCAGTAAATTTAACTTAATTTAAATTTTAAAATTTTGATATATTATATTAATTAAAGATATGTATTTTCAAAAAATTAAAATTATGATGATCATAATCAATCTTAACTTCAATTTTACTTTTAAAATTTAAATTTGGACATACCATATCAATAAATATGATGTATCTCACATTTTAACAAATAATGTTTACAAATTTATATTTTATCCTAAAAGTATTGCCTCTTTCATTTAATTTTATTAAATATAATAAAATATTTATTATGAATAATAAAATATTTACTATTTTTATTAATAAATTTATTTAAATTAAAAATAACCATGATATGTATGAAAAACTTGCCAATATTTTACATAAACAAGATAAAAATAAAAAATATGATAAAATAAGCATATAATATAAAAGTAATTCATAGGTATATTTATTTTTAAAAAATATTTTATGTATAATTTTAAAAAACATACATATTTCTTAGTTAATTTTTTTCAAAAATATATTTACGTATGCTTAAAATTTTGATATATTCTAATGAAAAATAAAGCATACTGTTGATAATTGATCCTTAAGAAAAAAGTTTGATTAAATATTTTAAAAACATATGTAAGGGAAAGAAAAAATAATAAATAAATATAAAGAGTGTGAAGTAAGAGTTAATATTCTAGAATGTTCATAAAGTAGACTGGTTGAAATAATAATTGGGATACTATCCTATCAGAATCAAATTGCAGAGTCCGCAAAGTCTCCTCCATCGTCTCAAGCAGGGAGGACCAATAGCGTCCGCATTCCTCGCTCTCTAAAATATCTTTGCTTTGTTCAAACAAAAGAAAATATCTTTGCTTTGACTCTATCTTTCCCACCATACCCAAAAAATTAAAAAGAAAAAAGAAGACTATTCTTCCCATGAACGTTATTCTACTCGTTAAAAAATTTATATTTTTATTATATTATTTATTGCATCTTCCTTTTTCTTTCTTTCACGATTCATTTTACACTCATTTAAGAGTATTATTGAATAAAAAAAAAACAAACGTGTGATGTGATATAATTCAAAAACAACTAAATAAAGATGAAATGAGACAACATACTATAAAGATTTATATATTATAAAAATAAAAACCCATCCTTCCACATACCCTGCAATGCAACCTAATGATACTACTGTGTGGCCTAGCCAATATTGATCTATAAATAAGCACCGTTACGAGGTATGTTACATCCACAGAATTACTGGTTCTTGATCAACAGGGTGGCTAGGTTTGAGAGTTGGACAAAACAAAGCCTAACTAAACTAAATCGTTTTGTTTTGTTCGTGCGATGTTCTTTCCACGCACATACGAGTCTCCTTAGGACATTCAATCTCTTCTGTATCCCTGCGAGAATTACAACCAATCAGGCTCTCTGCGTGAATATGGGTTGTGTTTCTGAACAATCCCATAATAACAAAATTGGGGTTCTCTTGGTTTGAGAATTTTCTTTAATTGCAGGGGTCATATACCTCATTCTTTTTTTACATCCATCTATCTCATACCAATTGTGTTGGCACAATGGAGGGTGAGAATAAAAAGTACATCACGCATGAGGAGCTGAAGGAGCATAACAAGCCAGGGAATTTGTGGATATCGATTCAGGGTAAGGTTTACAATGTGTCAGATTGGGCTAAGGATCACCCTGGTGGAGAGGTTCCAATATTGAACCTTGCAGGCCAAGATGTAACAGATGCATTCATAGCCTACCATCCTGGCACAGCGTGGCAATATCTTGACAAATTTTTCACTGGGTACCAACTAAGGGATTTCAAGGTCTCTGAGGTGTCCAAGGATTATAGGAGGCTTGTGTCTGAGTTTGTGAAAATGGGTCTTTTTGACAAGAAAGGGCATGTCACTTTGTACACTTTGACCTCAGTTGTTGTCATGTTTGTCGTTGTTCTTTATGGCATCTTGGGGTGCGAAAGCATGTGGGCTCATTTGGGTTCAGCCTCGTTGTTGGGTTTGCTTTGGATGCAAAGCACTTATGTGGGTCATGATTCTGGTCATTATGTGGTTATGTGTGATCCGGGTTATAACAAATTTGCACAAATTCTTTGTGGGAATTGCTTGACCGGGATAAGCATTGCGTGGTGGAAGTGGACCCACAATGCGCATCATTTAGCCTGTAATAGCCTTGACTATGATCCTGATCTGCAACATATCCCAGTTTTTGCTGTGTCTTCTCGTTTTTTCAGCTCAATGAAATCTTGTTTCTATGGCAGGAATTTAAAGTTTGATTCTTTGTCCAGGTTTTTGATTAGTTACCAGCACTGGACATTTTACCCTGTTTTGTGCTTTGCTAGGCTCAACTTGTACCTTCAGACTTTATTGTTGTTGTTTTCTAGGCGTAGAGTCCCAGATAGAGCTTTCAACATTTTAGGAATACTTGTTTTCTGGACTTGGTTCCCTCTTCTTGTTTCTTGCCTACCAAATTGGTCAGAAAGGGTCATGTTTGTGGTCGCTAGTTTTGCTGTTTGTTCCATCCAACACCTTCAATTCTGTTTAAACCATTTTGCTGCTAATGTGTATGTTGGGCCACCAAATGGCAATGACTGGTTTGAAAAGCAGACAAGTGGGACATTGGATATTTCTTGCTCATCTTGGATGGATTGGTTTTTTGGTGGTTTGCAATTCCAACTGGAGCACCATTTGTTCCCAAGGTTGCCAAGGGCACAATTGAGGAAGATTTCTCCTTTGGTGATAGAACTTTGCAAGAAGCATAATTTGCCATATAGAAGTTTGACATTTGTAGAGGCCAATGTATGGACTCTAAGGACCCTCAAGAATGCTGCTTTACTGGCTAGGGAGATGAGTAACCCTTCTTCCCAGAATTTATTGTGGGAAGCTTTTAATACTCATGGCTGAGCAACAAGATTTCATAAGATCATCATGTTTTCCTTTTCCTCCCATTTCTCTTAGTTTATGAGCATCTACTTTTCTTAATTGGGTATTAGGTTTAATATCTCTCTTTTTATAAGGTGTGACTGTGTGTAATAATGATGATCATGTTATCCTTTTTTCACCTCTTTTCTTATTTTGGTTAGACTCTATTGGCATTTGGAATAGAGTTGTTGACTTATGTTTGTAAAGATAGAACTTCATACACCTAAGGGGAAAACAAGATGGAAAAACACAGTAGAAAATCGTATTTATGTAATTTGTAATTCATCGGTTGTTGGGCAGATTTTTTTTTCCTTCACTCAATGTGTTGGTGAAGGGATGAAATAATAATAATAATAATAAAACTCTTCTAAAATGATTTATTGTTATCTTCTGTTATCTTTCTCTCTTTTCCTTTTATGTGAAAATATCGTAGGCCTCTTTTCTAATAGAAATTTTGAACAGTTACTAATATAACTTGGAGAAGGAGTTACTTAATATAAATTTTGATTTCAAGGATGTATAAGACTCAAACCTGTTTCACTAATTTGCCATGAATTGATATTATTTTGAGGGATTTAAGATTTCAAAATTAGATTGATGTATTTTGAGGATTAATTCGGCTAGTCCTAACTCGGTCCGATTTTTTTTTAATAAATTTTTAATAATAATTATATATTAGTAACAAGACTTTTTTTTTTATGTATAATAAAACTTTAATATTTATATTAATATTATTCGTTTTAGAATGTATACTGAAAATATTAATATTAATTTTATTAATTCTGTGATTTAGCTATACATAATATTAAAATTAATATATTTTAATTATAAATTAATTCTATGATTTTGTCATAATATTTGATTCAATTGAGATTAAATTGAAAATAAATCCATCCTAAGTCTTAACTCCTCTATGGGTATTCAGATCCTCTGCAGTGTTGACAGGAACTGTAGAGGGCGCAGTGCGTTTTTGCTTAAGCAGACAAATTTGCTTGAGTAAAATTTGTAGCAAATTCGCTTGAGCATGGAAAAAAGCTTAAGCCAATGGGGAAAGGGCTTGACAACGCGCCCAAGTGAGTCACAAGAAAGCAAAATCATGTCTCGCTTAAGCCCATAATTTCGCTTAAGCGATTTTCATTTAGCTTAAGCCCTTCTAAGTGAAAACAATTAAACCTAAGCGAAAATAGACCAGAGATACATGTATTTCAAGCACTCTTTTCGTTTTAGCAGATTGTAAATCGCTTAAGCTATTATATATTCGCTTAAGCCTTGACAAGCGATTTTAATTAATATTAAGCGAATTTCAGGCAGAGAGCATTGCTCCAGGCATACGAAATAGCTTAAGCGAATTTGAATTAGCCCTAATTTGAATTTCTTAGCGAATACAAATCTGCTTAAGCGAATATATTAAAATTTGAAAAAAATATGCAGAGACAGACAACATGCAAGAGGGTTCAAGTACAGTTGATTACATTACATAATACCATTTCAACTTACATCTTACACAAAAAAGAGTTTATAAATACATATTTAGCCCAGACACAAAAGAAGTATTGGCAATTGTCTAAGGTATTAAAGCATTGGTATTCCAAAAGAGTTTATAATATAAGCACCAGTTTAGATAAATATTAAAATCTAACAATGAAAACTATGTTCAACATTGAAAAACTAAAATTAAAATCCATTACATAACAGAAAATGTTAAATTACTAAAATTCATTAAAATATAATGTAATCCTAATTGTAATCATAGGTCTCCAACTCCTACATTATCCTTATCTTCCATGGGTTGTGGCTCATTTCCCTCATTACGTCTCCCTTCTTCCTCTAAGTGTTGACTTTGTTCTACATCTCTCCTTTCAATGTCGTCATTATTCTGAATGTCATCCAACACTCCTTCATGTGGCTGTGACACATGATCCTGTGGAGTTTCTTCTTCAGGTAGAAAGGTAGGATTGTCTCCAGGCCATGATACAGTTGCTGCAAAAAGCTTTGGTGCGGGCCATGGGAAAGCTGATGTCTCACCATAATGTTGATGTAGCGTGAACCTGTGGAATTCAAAAGATCAGGGTAATATGTTGCAGATATGATTAGATATTTTAAAATATTAAATAAGAGAAGAGTTGACCTGTAGAAGGACTCATTTAGCTGAGTGTAAGCGCGATTATTTGCTGTCAATTATTGCTCTATATGATTAAGATGGTGTAGAACACTTGAATCTGTTTGTGGCATGTTAGGTATGAATGGTTATGTTCGTGGTTGTCTTGGCTGTGATGTAGGTGGCACAAATAAAGAGGGTTGAGATGAAGGTCCTGCAGGCTGTTCTAATGGATTGATGCAGTAATTTTTGATGAACTGGGAATTGATTGGTTTCTTTAAACTAATAGTTTGAGTGGAGCAATCTGGAATGGTGACGCCTTGGGAAGCACATAAGGCAGTGATGAATGCTGGAAATCCCAAAGGTTTTGTAGCTGATGCAGTACTGGATATGTTGGAGATCACCAATTGGTGTAGCTCATCTGAAATGATTGCTGCTATGTCAACGAATATCCCTTGCATGATGCTGTATATGAAATATGCTCGAGGCATCCGAATATCCGAGGTGTGTGTGGTTAGGGCTATGTTGGCAAAGAGGAAGGATGACCAAATTTGAGCCAAAGTATTCAAAGATTGTCTCTTGAATCTCAATGGCTTCCCAGTTGCATTTGTTTCATAGGACTTTCCAGGGATGCATAAAACTTCAGCTACCCTATTATCCATAAAACCTAAGAATCGCTTCTGACGTTGCTGGTATTGGCATAACTCTCCTTGTTCTAAGGTAAGAGGGTTGCCTAACAAAGCTGAAATTGCATCTTTACATATGTAACTGCATGCCTTCGAACCCAAGACCTTCTTTCTAACTTATCTAGTATCAAAGGCCACGCATTTGCATAAAATTCCTTCACGATTACCTCATGAATGTGATTGAGGAGATTTGTCAAGAATTCCTACTTTCTTCTCCTAATTTCTTGCATAAAATCTTCATATTCTTCTTCTGCTAAAGACACATTCCTCTCAGGTAGCAATTCCCTAGCCTGAAAATCAAGAAATCTTTGAGCCTTGACCTTGATTTTGAACCTATATCTATCCTATGATATGATTTCTGTTTGTGTTTGAGTTTCAACTGGTGATTGTTGTTGTTCATCAATAGGTTCAGCAGGTTGTTGTGAGGTTTGACCAACTTCTGCCTTTTGCCTCTTCCTTTGAGGAATAGATTTTTTTGGTACCATCCTGCAACCCAAGCCAGAGAACATTTTTTAGACAGAATCGCTTAAGCAAAAATTATAGCGCATAAAACAAAGGTAGAAAGGTATTTAGTCTTACCAACAACAAAGTTTTCAATTAGTCCAACATAAATCAGGTTTAATAATGTCTTTCTTTACAATATAAAGTGAATGTGAAGGGTTATAATCCATGGAAACAATACATCTCTATCAATAATCTAACACCATACACTGTAAGGAATACAATATAAAGCAAACAAAGGTACAAAAAATATACAAGGATTTAGGATTTTGTATTGCAACTGAAAGGAGGGATTTCTGAAGCCTTTCAAGCTTTGGAAGAAAGGACACAGGTAGACGGCGCTGAAGCGAGTAGACAAAGAGATGAAGATTGAAAATAAAAATGGAAGGAGAAGATTCAATCTTTTAAAAACCAACAATCATGAAATTCGCTTAAGCGAATTTTCTGGCTTAAGCAAAAATTCACTTAAGTGAATATCCTTGCTTAAGCGAATTTTGAATCGAAAGGGGCTTAAGTAAAAAGAGGCGCTTAAGCTAGTTAAGCAGATAAATTGGCGCCAAATACATTCGTAGTGATGTATTTTTGAAGAAAGACACTTTCCCTAATCTTCTAAATAAAGAAACACTGAAGAAACAAATGTTTTAAGAAGCTTTGATGAAGGAAGTTCATTGGTGAGGAAAAGCTTTGACAAGTTCATAGCGTTTGACAACATTTTATCCTACTTCTTTAGCAAACATCATCATCAAACAGAGAAAGCGTAAAGGTACACATATATTCCATAATTTTTTTAGTTTAATATTACTGGAATCAATATTTATTATGTTTATTGTAATGTTATGGGATTATAGAGATAGTCACAAAGATGGATGTCACAAGGAAACCAAGTATCGGGTTAGAGTTTAAGAGTCTTGACCAAGTATGGCAATTTTGGTGTTAATATGGAAGGCTAACATGATTTGGAGTGAGGAAACAATACTTTAACAAGCAAAAGGGAGATGATGTTATTATGGGTTGCAAATATGTTTGTTGCAAAGATGGGCATAAAAAAGAAGATAAAAGGGATCTACAAGTGAAAAAGCATCGACCAGAAACTAGAACTGAATGTCTTGCAAGAATAATATTGTCTTTGGCAAACAATAATAAATATGTTATTCATCAATTTGTTGAAGAGTATAATCACCCATTACAATTGCCAAAAACAACACACATGTTTGCTTCTCATCGTAATATAACGAACGTCCAAGATCATGAAATTGATTTGGCTGAGGCATTTAGATTGCGACAAAATGCATCATTTCAACTAATGAGCACACTTGCCAGACACCAAGCTAATGTTGGGTATACTTGCCTAGACGCAAAAAATTACTTGAAGGCGAAAAGACAAAGAGGAATGGTATACGGAGAAGTTGGTTGTCTAATGCAATATTTCCAGTGACAATTAGTAGACAACTTATCTTTTTTTCATGCGTACCAAATGGATTTGGATGCAAATATTTTTTGGTCGGATGCAAAGATGGTAATTGATTATGGATTTTTTTGATGAAGTTGTATCACTAGACACTACCTATTGCACCAATAAAGCTAATAGACCTCTAGCATTATTTTTTGATTTTAATCATTATAGAGGCGTTGTTATCTTTGTGGTAGCCTTGTTGTATGATGAAACAGTTGAATCATTTCAATGATTGTTCGAGACTTTCTTGGAAGCACATTACAACAAAAAACCTCAAACTCTTTTTATAGACCAAGATCAAGCAATGGCAAAGGCACTTGTCCAAGTAATGTTTGAGATACGCCATGCATTATGCATGTGGCACTTAATGCAAAATGGCATAAAGCATTTAGGGAATTTGATGAAAGGAGGGAGTCGTTTCTTAAAATATTTGAAAAGATGCATATATGACTTAGATACTTCAATTGACTTTGAGGAGGCTTGGATAAGGTTGATTACAGAATACAATGTTGAAGAACATACTTGGATTTACTTTACTGTATGCTATAAAGGAGAAATGTACATCATGTTATTTCAAAGATTGTTTAACCCTTGGAATGCGTAGCACTCAGTTAAGTGAAAGTTTAAATTATGACTTCAAGGCATGTATGAGACCTAGTGTTGACATTAACAAATTCTTTGGACACTTTAAACGGGTGGTTGAAGACAAACGTTACAATGAGCTTAAGTGTGAATATGACTCTCGTCACAAACTAGCCATGTTGCAA